CTGGGCCATCGTCAACAGAAAGTAAGGCTTCACCAGATTTCACATTTGAACTCTTTAGACTTCCTGTTAATTATTTGTTTCTGTAAAATAGTATGACTTTTGTTGAGAATTCATTTTAAATAAATGACTGCTTTAACCCTCAGATACCACAAGCTTGGCACAGGGTTTAACCCTAACACTCTGGACAAGCAGAAGGAGCGTCAGAAAGGCCTGCCCAAACAAGTGTTCGAGGCCGATGAGATGCCAGACAACAGCAGCTACCAGGACGAGCAGGTACCAAAGTCATTTAGTGGTAAAATAAAAAAGAGTTTACCAAAATACTGTTCATGCGGGTTGGCCTGCATGTTATACTCATTTGTTTTGTGTTGTATTGCCTTGTAGGATGACCTGAAGCGCCGGTCGATGTCTATAGATGACACCCCACGCGGCAGCTGGGCCTGCAGCATCTTTGACTTGAAGAACTCCCTCCCTGACGCCCTCCTCCCTCACCTCCTGGACCGTGCCGCCAATGAAGAGATAGACAGGCACAATGAAGAGCATCGCAAAGCCCACCGCCACCGCGAAGTCTTTGCTCTGCACCCTGCCCTGGATGAGGTAGAGTTCACCTATTCATTTTGCTGGAACCTTTATTTGTGCTCATAAATGTCAAATGTTTGTTACTCTGTCCAAGTAAGCCAATGAACTCAACATTGAAAACCATTCCCATGATGTGTGTAATTGTCTTTGAAATCCAAACATAGACATACAGAACATAACAGTGTTGAAGATCATTTTACCTGATTTTCTTTGTATACAATCTTCTCTGTGGATTTGTAGGAGGAGCCCATTGAGCGCCACTGTGTGCCTGAAGTACCCAAAGAACACCTTGGCCAAAGGCTACTCGTCAAGTGCTTGTCCTTGAAGTAAGTGTTGGACAGCGTTTAAAAAAAGAAGCCTTTTAGCACTTTTATTTTACTGCGGCTTTCTGCTGACCCACTCGTTTTTCTCTCCCCTTGAAGGTTTGAGATCGAAATTGAACCGATATTTGCTAGTTTGGCCTTATACGATGTCAAGGAAAAGAAAAAGGTAAGCTGTTATGCTTTCCTCAGTCTTCTCAGCCCTGAGTTGTTGGGTCACTTTTGCAAACCATTAAAATTGTTGGGAAGCCACAATGAATTTGATGAGTAGACTATAACATTTTATCTGGCCCTGTTATGTTTGTGGGAATGCAGTTAAATCATACACTGGAACCATGTATCTTTCTAAAGAAGACCATCCACTGCCGGTTCCTCTCCACCTCCCTTTAGCTGACAAACACTAGAGGGTAGCAGTTGCCTTGATAAGTAGATCTCTCATATATATTGCTCTGTACAGGAGCTCTATTACTTTTACAAGTGGGTCATTTGTCAATGAAATGTTATCATGTTTGTCGGCCACCTTGAGCAGGAAATCAGGTTGCAGTAACACAGCTAGTAACTCCAAAAAAAGGCTACTGTTTTTCATGGTTTGGTCATAGGATTACATTAGCACATGTGTTATATCTATGTTATAATCAACTGTGTGTCTGTTTGAATGTGTTCCTCAGATATCGGAGAACTTTTTCTTCGACCTGAACTCTGAGCAGACAAAGGGAATGCTGCGTCCGCACACTCAGACAGCAGCCATCTCCACGCTGGCCCGCTCCGCCATATTCTCCATCACCTACCCCTCCCAGGATGTATTCCTTGTCATCAAGGTCAGTTATGATATTATTTCCTCAGAATTGTCTTGCAAATAAATGTACGAGTAATAATATCATATTTCCTCAAATATAGGAAAACCATTATTTATTAATTTTTTTAACTTTTCGAGGATACAAAACACTTATAGGATAGTCTTGTGGGGGAAGATTCCCACAGATATTTTCAGTCTTAGCAAGTGCAGTAATCAAACCTTTTCCTTTTAAAAGTGACAGTAACGGATGAATTATTTTTCTGAAATCTTTTTGTACGGTGTTGCTAATCATTAATTCCTTCATGGCAGCAAAACGTGTTACGCGAGCCATTAGAAACTTCTGAAGTTTAGCCCTGAAAGACTACCAATATTTGATACTATTATCAAAAGATCTAAGGAACTTAAAAAATAACTTGCAACTTTTCTTGCAGAAGTGAATTACAAAAGACAGTGTCGTCTTATTTGTGAGCCAGTACTTTAGTATAAAATATGATTGGCTTTTATTTGCCTGTTGATTATTTGTGCTGTATGATCTTTTTGTTGCTGTGTTTGAGGGAAGGGACTAAGTTGTTTGTGTTGTGTCCCCAGCTGGAAAAGGTACTGCAACAAGGGGATATTGGAGAGTGTGCTGAGCCCTACATGGTTTTCAAAGAGTCCGATGCTGCCAAGGTAGGATCAGGGTGAATTAAATGTTGAAATGCACCTAAAACATTTTGAGGCTAATATAATAATCCTCATACAGATAATGCCTTTTATCCAAAATGTTATCCACATATTCATCAACGTGTCTTTTCCTGTAGAATAAAGAGAAGCTGGATAAGCTCCGCGGACAGTCAGAGCAGTTCTGCCAACGACTTGGCCGCTATCGCATGCCTTTCGCCTGGACCGCCATCCACCTGATGAACATTGTGAACAGTGCTGGCAGCCTGGAGAGAGACACGGAGCTGGAGATGAGCCTCTCAGGTGGGACATTTCACTTTGAACACATCCCTTTGGGTGGTAACTTTAAAAACACAGTATGCATCAAGTGCGGAGGAAAAAGAAAACCTCTGTGAATGTTTTTGCCGACTCACTGTCTCAATGTTGCAGTTCTCTGTGGGCAGAGACTATAACATAGACCTGGGAGTCACACAGGAAGATCATGGGCCCAGTCAATACATTACCACACTGTCAAATCTTTATCTAAAAGCAACTTTACAACAACAGAGATCAAAACATCCAAACCAGACAACGATCCATATTGATCCCTGGTGAGCTATTTTGAGTTTGACCTTTGGTGTTTGTCTAACCTCCGACCTCACAAGGTGTCTTTTAATGCTGACTGTGGTGGCTGCGTGTTCGCTGGATGACAGATAGAAATGTATACACGCTCTGACACATGGGAAAGAAATGTGGGATTATTTGTGAGCCTCCCTAAGTCAAATCTGTCGACATTCAAAATGTAAACAATTAAAAAGCTTTTATTGTTGTTTTCCCCCTGTTTGCAGAGAGAAAAGGCTCATGGTCAGAACGGAGGAACTCCAACATCATGGGAAGGCGTTCACTGGAGAGGACCACCAGTGGAGACGAGTCATGCAGTCTGACAGGCTTTAGACCTGCAACACTTACCATCACTAACTTCTTCAAACAGGTCTCCACAACCACATATGTTATTTAGAAAATATATCATACACTGCTCTGCTCTGTCATTTTGTTTTGGATTTTTACACACGCTTTAAAACGTGTGTTTTAGGAAGGGGACAGACTGAGTGATGAGGACTTGTATAAGTTCCTAGCTGACATGAGAAGGCCTTCTTCCGTGCTGAGGAGACTCCGACCCATCACAGGTACAAACTACATTTGAGTTCTTGATGCCCTTGATTATCATCTCTAACCAGTGTTCCATTGAATTGCTGGAAAAATGTAACAATTGAAAAATGAAAAACGTTTTTTTTCTCTTTCCTCACCTCCCCGTTTACCCAATGACTCCCGTTCTGTCCTCTGTGACTGCCACCACAGCCCAGTTGAAGTTGGACATTTCTCCAGCTCCAGAGAACCCTCACTATTGCTTGACCCCTGACCTTCAGCAGGTCAAACCTTACCCAGACAGCCGGGTACGCCCCACCAGGGAGATCCTCGAGTTCCCTCCCAGAGACGTCTATGTGCCAAACACCAAATACAGGTACAGAAAAACTGTGCGTTTGTTTCCTATCTTTCTGTTTAGTATTTTCATTTGTTAAGATAAAGCATTATTGTCAAAACGATTGCAAAAACCAAAGGCTGTTTTATCTGATTTGACATTCAGGACTAGCCTAATTTGCTTACAAGTGGATTAACACATGCAAATATTACATTGAATCAGTTATTGTTGTCTAACTTCACTGCCCATTCTTGGTATTATGTGTTAAATGATCTGTGGACTACTACAGAGGGATATTCTTACTGTTTATTCAGTAAGAGATTACATTCTCAATCAAAGCCAAAACACACATTCACTCTGCAGAATTCAAGATTTGCACACTGTCACTCTGCCACTGTGTTTGTTAATGTTCACCTCGTGTATTGTGGAGGTGTACTGCGTCCCTGTTGCATCTGAACTGCTATTTCTATCAAGGTCATTTTGAGAGATGTCTTTAATACCAGACGCTGGTGCTGACATGGCCTTGCTACCACAGGCCTTGTTTGTCTGCAGATAACCGTACACCTCCCTTTTGTAGATTAACTAATGCCAGACATAATTGAGAGCCAGCAGCACTGGGTGAAAGGAAACATACTGTTGCATTTTTATTCTGATGTGAAAGTTGATTGATAAACCTTTCAAGCATAAATAAATGGCAGCTATACTATATGAGGTCATTGAACCTGAACAGTGATTCTGGAGAGTACAGGCCTTAAGCTGAAAAACTTGCCACTTTGTTTTATACTTTGAACTATCACATAGCACACTGTATACATGCAGATAACAGCTATATGAAAGCAAGTCCAATTTTTAAGGGGGCTTTTACATTTAGAATGTCTGCTATTATATTGTGTAAGCCAATTTAATACTGCACAACCCACAAGATCGTCAGATCACTATAACCTACACAGCTTGCTGTCTTCAAGTTTGTGAGGTTTCCACACTAAATGACTGACCTTAAAGAGCAACACATTACAATATAATCTTCCATATGGAATGTGATGCCAGCATTTCACCTTCATGTAACACTAAGATTATATGAAGGCCATTTATTGGCATTCATTTTCTTTTCCTCCTAAATTTATTTGGTTTAATACAAAGTTGTAAATCAACACACTATAAAAATGTACTTGTGTGAATTGGTCATTTATTCAAGATCTTTATTTTGACTTCATAAATATGAGGATGTGTTGGTATGAGGAACAGTTAGAGTACAGTTAGTTATTTTGTTATGATGGACAAGAGTCAATATGACTCGATAACAGGAAATGTATGGAAATTATATTTTTCTAGCAATGCCATCATAAATCATTTAATAGCATGAGTATAGTTTAAATACTTAACATAGTAAAAAAAACACAGAACAAACAAAGCAAAAAAAACTCATCAGTCTGCCGCCAAAGCTTTGTACCTCCACTTTTTGTACTATATTTAACTGCTGACGTGCCCCTACTCAAAAGATTGTTTTTCATGAAACTAGCGATAAAACAAGATAAAATAACAACATTTTCACTGGAAAAAAGTCACAAGTATTGACAGTTTCTGAGATGCTGGAGATGCATTGTTTCTCTTGAACATTGACTCCGATGCCTTATGTCATAAGTGTTGGTATTTCTGTCTTTAGCTCCTGGGAACATGCAAAAGCTTCACATCACTAAGATAATAAACATTTTTAATAACTCACTAAACAAATAACTATTAAATACATTTAGGTTCACTGAAATGATAACCAAGAAAGTGTATAGAGTTGCTTAATAATCTCTCCTCACAGTTGTCTTTCCTACTTTAGTACTGTGGCCTTTTGCAGGCGGCACTGAATCAGACTGCTGATGTGGATCAATATGTCCATTTAGTCAGTGATTGCAGATGTTGCATAATGACACAACTGTCCTTGCTGGGTCACACCCAATATGTCAATGACCTGTGTGACATGGTTGCATCATTGAGAGATTTTCTGACGTGTGACATTTTGGCCTGTTATCTATTGGTTGGCACCAAACCTCTGACAAAACGCTGTTAAGAAACAATCCGTTTAATAAACTAAAAATGTGTCTGTGTTACTACACTTTCCACATCTATAGAACTTTTTGTCTGAGCATTAGATCTTATCAGTGTTTGTATAAAAAAAAAGGTTAGTAGTGTGAAAAGGTATGATTTGACGGGTTCACTTGAAGCTGTCAGCTGTAGGGGCCGATCGTAGGGTCATCTTGGTGGTCTTGAGTGCGTATGAGGGCCCTGTGCCAGGCTTCCAGTGGATGCCCTTCCTCCTCATAGAGCGTCCTTTTGCCCTCAACCACAAATACCGTCCATTAAGGTTGGTTTCTCTGCAAGCATTAAACCACCAACCACCTGCCAAGGGGTCAGGACAAGAACCATATGTTTTAGAACAACACTCTTTACTACCAAAACACAATTTCTGATTCAGCTTGGTAGAATGCTTACCTGTGTAACTGCGAGAGCAGTTGGAGTTTCGGTGGTTTTCATTATTTCTGTCCGTTGTGGAGAACCTCATGCCGGTGCTGTTGGCCATGGCATCAGACAGGTCACCAGAATAGTTGCTGACATACAGGCTGTAGCCCATGGAGGGACCTTCTAGTGTGAAGCGGTACTCAGCCCAGTGGTTCCCCTCCTTCCAGTCCTCCAAGTCAACACGCAGGACGTAAGCTCCCTGCTGTGTGAAGCTGTGGATCTTCTTTAGGCCCAACCAGAAGTTCTCTGCATAACACAACAACCCATTTTATATCTTTGTAGGATAGCTATTATTTGAAAACACATGCCTATTTTGTCTGTTTGAAAGGAATCTCTAAAGGTTAACGGTGGGTTTGTATAGAACTTTTATTTTTGTGGGAAAAGTCTCTTTGTACAATTTACAAAGGTTTACAAATCAAATCAAATTGGAAATGCGCTGGCTTATACTTTTTCCTACTGTAGTATTGATAGTTTCTCTCTCGTAGCTATTTCATTCTATCATTTATCAGTCGTACTTTGTCTCTTATAAGCTTAAAGAACTCATCTGTAATCAGAGCAGACAGGCACGTCCAAACACTGGTTTCCATTTGCCTTTGTTGGACTGCTGCATCAAACTATACTTTTTAACGATTAGTTTGGTAGTAACAAATTAATACCATGCCTGCAGGAGACGCTACGGTGGAATGTTAATGACTGTGTATGAAATGATTCAGTCTGACTCAGTAAGTGCTGCAGGGAAAGCTTTGGTTCAGGGTTGATACGTAGCAATCACTATTTCATAAAACCAGCCCAACAGAATGTTATTGCAAATGTACTATTGTATATATGACAAGTGAAGATAGGTCTAAATTGAAATGTGTATGGTTTTGGCAAAAGGTAAAATGTCCATATTTGAAGTAAATATACTCACTTTCCAGATCTCCAAAGCCTTTTTCATACTTCTCCCATGGCTGTTCAAAATCCAATGAATCATCGACCCTGCGTTGGATAACAGTTGACCCCCCGTCTGTAGAATGGATTAAAACAATTCAAGTCCAGTTACTCTTGTACAAGCCACAGAAAAGTTTACACAAGGATCAGGAAGCCTCCTTTTGATAGATAACGTCAATGGGATAAAACCCCATTATTTGCTCTTATGGATAACCCCTTCCTGTGGCTATCTAGCTAGATAACCTTTGGCTTTTTGGTCCTTGTTGATTTAAAAAAGTGCAAAAATTGCATAATTTCATTGTGTAAATAAAAGTGCTTTCTGAATAAAGAAACAGTATTATGATGTTCTCATTTCGTGTTTATATTACTATGGTCTTACCCACCTGAACCCATTTCGCAGTAAACGTTGAATGGTTCAGATTCGCTTGGTTTGATGACATACATTCCACTGTTTGCCTCTCCTTTGGTAAACAACTCACTGCAGTCCCTTGGCAGGTCTGAAACACAATTAAGAAAATCAAAATGAGTGCATACAAATGTGTGTTCTCTTTTTATTTTCAAGACATTTCATATTCATCTCAACAACTTCAAATGACTGATAATATTTTTTAAATATCTTTACCATTCACATCTAGGTCAGTTGAGTTTCCTGTCAGATATTCAAACATGTCTGCAGGGACTGAATCCATTGGCTTATCGATTGTATCCTGAAAGCTGTCATAGTTAAGCTGCAAGACAATGGAAATAAGATCTGTGAAGTCTAATGAGGTTGTCAGCTTGAAATAGCAGAGTTTCCCTCCCCATGGTCATTTGTCATTTTCCCATAAAGCAACATTTGCATAGATAACATTTAGGACCTAATTACGTTCTCAAAGTTGGCAGAATGTAGTGAAACCCTTTAGAACAGTTTTCTACCTTTTCCTCCAGTCTTTTAATGTTGGTTTTCTGGTTGTCGAGCTGATCATGCTGCTCCTTCACAGCTATCAGCAGATTGTTGATTGTTTTCTCTTGCGATTCAATCACTTGCTGAAAATACCACAATAAAAACATTTATTGTCCATGCAACATGTGGGCGAATATCAGTTTTTCTTTAGTATTTATTTTCTTTATTGCGAGAGAATAAGTCAAGGCAAACAAACTAAAACACACAACTTATTTATAACTTTGCTTTTCTATTGTTGGTAACAATTGGAGAATTGTATAGCCTGTCTCATTATTGTTATATTTACATCATCTTAGTGGAGAAACTGCAACAGATGGTTTATCAACAATCTGTATTGTAATTACAGTAATAGATCATGGTCATAAATCAATAAATGTTTTTCTTGGACCCATTGCTTTCTCTTGAGTGAGGAGTAATTTAAGTGTTGTGTTGATGTTATTCAATTTAGTAAAGTCCAACAAATGCATTCCCGTTGATGGCTGGATTTGAGTGGAAACTTTTTAAGCCGTTTTCTTTTGCTTGCTTTTATCTTTTTATATATATGCGGAAATCATCCACTAACTGACACAATCTGGAATGAGGAACTCTATGAGCTGCTTACCCTGAGTGCTGTGATTTCGCTAAGCTGCTCAGCGGGGATAATGCTCTGCGACAGTCCCTGCAGTCGCTCCTCCAGGTTCCCCACTTTGCTCTGCAGCTTGGTACGCTCCTGAAGGATGCCGTTGATCTTAGAGTTGATTTCCATGGACAGGTTCTTGATCTCCTCATTGTTGGTCTTCAAGAAACTGGTGGTCTTCTTCAGTTCCTCCTCTTCCTCCTTGATCTCAGAGGTTACCACTGAGAGCTGGTAGAAGGAGCGGTCGAAAATGTTCAACTTTTGGAAGATCTCGTTGATTTGGCCCTTAGTTTTGTGCACAAACTCCCGTAAACTCTGGCCTAGCTGAAGGAGGCCGTTAGCGAGTAGGCGAACATCGTCCAGCATAGCAAAACGAGACTTGGCCTCGGCTGGGCTCGCTGCAGTGGTGAGGGCAAAGGTGGGCACGGTGGTGGACTGAGCCCTACCTGAGGTCACCAGGGGAACGGTAGAAGATGAAATAGAAAGAAGCAGCAACAGGCAATAAAGCTTCATCGTGACGTTCTTGTCCAATCCTTGAATATGTTCTAACTACTGCTCCTGCTTTCCTCTACTCAGCACTCCTTTCTCTCCCTCTGCCTATAACCCAGACTTCCTTGCTGTTTAAATGAAGTGAGCAGCAGGCTGCCCCGTGTTATATACTGCTCTCTCCGTAGAGGAGGGGGGGATTAGTTGATCATTACTATGTTTTAGCTCTGTACCCCACCTCCTCCCAAATCCCCCTCGAGCCCTCCCTCTCTGAACAAACAAATCACAGCAGTGAGCAAATGACATATGCACCCCACCCCCCTTCTGTACTACCCATTTAACCTCAATCCCCTCTCCATACCACACCCTGCCTACCCTGTTCTCCATCTGTGGTGCAGAGCTTTAGCTGATCAGCAGAATGCCAACAATGGCATCACAGGTTTTTGATGGATCGTCACTCTGATCAATCACCAACCTTATAACCCTGCACACGCACATTGCTCTGATTGATATTGCTGTGTGTAATTAATGCTCTCGGGTTTGATTTAACTGCATGCTGAATCAGCCCAGCACCAGGCTCTCTCTCTCTCTCTCTCTCTCTCTGTCTGACTGTCTCTCTCTCTCTCACCCTCCCTCCTTACGCTCTCTTTATGTGGGGAGGAAGTGAGCCTGTCATTAGTGCCCGGGTTGTGCTTCTAGGCATGAATGATGTTGGAGAGTTTGGACAGTGTGTACTCATCATCTCTGTTTGTCATGCCTTGTGTGATCATTTTTTAATGCCACCAAGGTTCAAGGTTCAAGGTTCTTTATTGTCAATCTGACATAGCTACAGAGTAATTATGCAGTTGAAAATCTTATGTCACAGGCTTCTCCAACAATGCAACATAATAACATAACATAATAACAATAAGAGCAAGAGCAATACAAAAATAATAATAGTTATAAAAATGAAATAAAGTTATGATGTGGAATAGTGCAGTATGAGTCTATATACAAGTTATTGGAATGATATATATATATTAGGTATTAGATACATACTACTGAGTAGCAGTTGAATGTTTGAAGTTGTTTCAACAGTTCAATTTATTAACAGTCTCACTGCCCGCGGGAAGAAACCACACATGGAATATAGTTTCCTGATGAGCTTGGAGGTTTCAAAGCGACTTTCCATTGCTCTAAAGTCATGTCGTAAAATTACAATCTTTATGGGAAATTCTTAGTAAGTTGTTTCGCGCAGACCTGCAATGTTAGTGAAATATGTCCACCGTCAGCCAGGCAGGGGGGGGAGGAGGTAATCAGCCAAATGACTCGGTGTTGTGTTTAATTGGAATATAAATATTTACTATTGTGGCACACTGTGCAGCTGGTTCCACAACCCCTGAAGTAAGCATGTCCTGCTCTGCGGCGTGAAAACGCCAAGTAATCATTGCATTTAATGACTAATCAAGGCTCACAATTGGTTCTCCAACTTTAACTATTTTTATTTATCTTAAATTATATTTCCATTCATCAGTCACTTTGTGTAGCCAAATACATTGTCATAAACAGCTAAACATACTGGAATATTTGGCTTTGATTTCAAGTGGAAACATTTTTGCTCTCCGGCTGTTACAGTGTTATAATACCACACAGTCAGTTTAATGAGCTTTCTCTAGTAATTTGCGGTTATAAGGATGGATTACCGCAGGTCTCAGTAATGAGGGTCTGCCTCTGTTTTTGTATGGACAGAGCAGAAAGAAAGGGTCCCATGGAAAAGAAAGATTTGGCCACAGACTGAGTGAATGTGCCAGGAATTTGCTTGAGCAGCATAAAGCTGGTAATGATATACAACATCCGTCATGCCAGCACAGTGGTTAGCGTTGTGGTTAGGCAGCAAGGGGGTTAAGAGTTTCAACCTGACGTGCCCTTCTGGGGCCAGTGTATGTGGAGCTGCCATGTTCTGCTCAAGTTATAATTTGCAATGGAATTTTCACCTGATAAATCGGCATTGAACCTCGTTAGCTGTCCATTTAAATAACGGGATATCTTTGATCGACAGCTATTTCAGTTTGTTATCTGTTGCCTTGGTGCAATTCAAATTCCTAATTGTCCATCCTGCTGTATCTCTAGCTTGACTTTTTCCTACCTTAGATACTCTCAGTTATCCCTAACATATTCTTATATACTGTTTCTAGTTATTCCAATTCTGTACATTGATCACCTCTTATGTTGACCTCTGGGTGAAAGGACTGCTCCGACTTTCTGTGAGTCAGTCCTTTGTTTGGTTTTATACTGTGGACAGTTTTATCCACCCACCCATCATTTGTTTATCCAAAAGAATAATCATGTTAACTCAATATTGTAACACCTTATTGGCTGGGTATGCATGTTTTTATTTAGTTGTGCTTAAACAGATCTCTTATTTCTTCACATCCAATCATTTCCGGATAAAAATGAACTTTAATAACATTTGGGTTTATGTTTACAGTGTTCATGCACCATGCTAAGTTCAACCATAAAGTCTTCATAGAAATAATGTGCCACTTTTTGTATATTTATCTGCTTTGTGTTGAGTACATTTGTAATGTGTGTAAACCCAGTTCTAAATAGAATTGCGGTGCTCTTCTCAGCACCTTCACCAATATTGTGTTGTCCATTAACATGGCACACTTTTATTTACTATTCCTTGTCTGCATACTCTGAATTGCTTTAGAGGGGGATAATTTCATCTGGCCTCCTGGTGAGAAACTTAGTTTTCAAACAATGACTCTGTTCCCTAATGTAGCCCCTGTACCGGTAGCTGTCATCGTACAGGGTGTATTGGTAGTTATCAGAATTACATTTCACAGTATTTTTGTTTACTTATTAACCAAACATGAATCTGATGAGCTGAGCTGATACTTCCTCACCGTACATATATGGCTATTTATCAGATTTTCCACAGCGAGGCCTTCTATTTCTATTCAAATTCAACAACCCACTTTAGAGCTGCCAGTGTTATTGCTAGGACCTGCTAGATGGAGGGGAGGAGAATAAGGGAAGGATTGTATCAGACCAAATAGATTCCCACGCTTCCTTGTCAGTTGTGGTTCCAGCTGTGGTCTCTGTGGGGCAGGCCCCCACAGAGACCACTACGTCACTGCGGTTTGTCAGCTGATCCCGAGATTCCCGGGCCTCCTCCCACTTCCCAGCAGTGTAGTAACCAGTGTTTTTGAGAGTAAAGTACTATTACTCTAGCTGACAACAATGACAACAAAAATCAGGAGTGTAAACTATGCCAACTTCTTTGAGTATTTATTAAATGTTAATTCTAATACATGGTCCATCTTATTTCTTATCATGAACAATTTCATGTTTTTTTTAACTAACAAGAGACATATTAACCAAGGCCCACCATAACAATTATGACAGGAGAAAGTGCTACTTTCCATATTATTTTAGACACTATAACATTAATTGAGTTTTGTTTCTGATGCTTTTGTTGTGTATGTCAGAACAAGATATTGAGATATTTATTTGCCATTACTTCAATAACATCATTTATGAATGACCTTGTTTTTCTCTCTTTGTGTGTGTCTTTTAGGAATCTGCTGTATGTGAACCCTCAGAGTCTCAACTTTGCAAACCGCCAAGGCTCTGCCCGCAACATCACAGTCAAAGTGCAATTTATGAATGGAGAGGACCCAAACAATGCAATGCCGGTACGCTATGATGTCATTACATAGAATAAAACAAATATTTGTTCATATAGTCTAGTTAGTCATCCTACTTGTCTTCTTACTGGTATATTTCCTATACTCTAGGTGATATTTGGGAAGTCCAGCTGTGCAGATTTTGCTAAAGAAGCCTATACTACTGTGGTGTACCATAACAGGTAAGTCTATTAACACGTTCTAAAGAGTGCTGTAATGGTGATTGAATGTAGTTAAAACAACACTAATCAAATATCCCATCATAGCTTAGTAGCAATAACTTATTTTCATTTTGTTCAGATGTTAGCATCATTACTCAGGATTTATGTGATGACATATCTTGGCAATAGTGAGCTATGAAAATCTGACATGCTTAGCCTTTTACCCACATGGTCTCCATTATTGTCATGGAATTGGGGGATGAAAAATGAAAAGATCTAATATCCTCCTTTAATTTAACATCTACTTTTAAGTGTCCATCACCCAACCATAATGGTATTCATTAAAGAGAGCTGGAGTCGACCGTCTAGATATTGTCAAGTGGGTGTCCTTGGCACACGTTTCTTCCATCTCTAAGAGCTCATGGGTCTCTAATATTTTATCACCACTATCTGGTGTTTTTACGACATACAGCCATTTTGTCATTTGTCACCTGGGGGTCACACCTTCAAGGCGAAAATTAATCAACCTGTGAACAATGTACAAGTGTGACCAGGTCAAACATGCGTCAGGACTTAATTCAACCCTTAAAAAGGTAATGGTCAATTACAGTCAGCATTTCACTCTGAAGCAGCACAATATTTATTTTGTCAGAACTCTTAAAGTAAAAAATTGAGAAAGGGAATGACAGGAAAAGAAAACAAATCTTTTTTTATAAGAAGTGTTTTATAATCTGGAAAGCTTCCACCATATTGCTTGTATCTGCTTTTGGCTTTGGAGTCATTTAGTCAGCCAGTATCGCATTAGCTTTACCCCTGCGATAAATATTGCTCCTAGTGCTATTCTTCTTTGAGGGCTTTTCTTCTTCTGTCCATCCAAATTAGAGCACTTCTGTTCCAGTTTTAGTCATGTTAAGCCTTAAGACAATCCTGGTGGGTGTGTTGATAGACCTGCTGTTTATTTCTCTGCGCTGTTCTACAGACAAAGTTTCCTCCTGTGTGTGTTATGTAGTTTCTCTCTGTAATGGTCCCCTGACTTCCACTATGAACTCCTGTCATGTCTTGTGACACAGATTCCCAAGTTATTCATAGACTCAGCAGGAAATAGAATATATGGAGATCTTAATGAATGTGCATACATTTCAAATGGTGGTGGCTAGCAGTTAACGGTGCTAACAACAACAACAATAACAACAACAACAACAGGGCAAACAACAGCCACATTGCTGACAGAGCTAACAGGAAGGCTTAAGTGGAATGCTTTTGACGTGGCAGCATAAACGATGG